AGTGTAATCTTCCCCTATTAGCCATACCTGTACTGTAAGCCCAAACCATTTTAACTTCATGAAGAAAAGGCTGACCGGTTGGGGAACATGCTAACCACCGACATGGACATGGTAAACACTGCACATTTAGCATCAGGATTAGCACTGTCACTGTGAACATGGTAGCATTTAGCTCACAATACAGCTTCACAGAACAGGCTAACTGACATTTTAACATAAACCATCGCTGAATATTATTTTAAACATTACTCTAAAATCTGTGAAATCCTGCTTTATCCTTTGAGTTTACATTAAGTACAAAACATATAAAAAACTAATTCTTTGTTCTCAGCGGCCTATAGTCCCCCCCACTATCACTTTGGGAACTTTCCATTTGCTTCTGTGACCTGACATCATTAGTGTTGTTTGTCAGATGCAAAGCTTTAATTAAATTCCAGCTATCAGGGACAATAATTAAACACAAAGGCAGCCTGCTTTGAAGAAGAAAAGACGGGGAAAAATAAGGCTGTCTCTTTCTCTGGCTTCTTGTCAAAATAAAACCAATGGCAAGAATGTGATAAAAGCACAGAGCAGGGAATGTGATAACACACAAAAGGTGTCAGGTTGAGTTTTGGCGATGAAGCATACCGCATTCATTTGTGTTTCTAGCTGAAAGGCAGCAGAGATAAGCAGGCATAAAACAAAATTGCCGAAGAAAGTTGGGGACAGAAATGAAGAGAAATAAGTAGTCAAATTTAAAAAATACAAATACAGAGATGAGGAGAAACAGGGGACTGACCCAGATGATAAGATGAACTTGAAGAGTGTGGAATACTGCACTGATCTGAGTAGCTGCGACTGCGCTCAGCAGTAAACAATTCATCTTTCAAATAAGTCTTGACTGACTAGTCTTTCATACTTGTAGAGCATGGTAAATTCCATCTTAGGCTGGAAGCCATGTTGTATCAGATATGCTGTAAATGAGCACCCGATGAGGAAGAGCAGCCTAACGGTAATCACAGGCATGACAGTAAATTTCTGTGGTCTCCAAAATCTTCTTAAATTTTAGAAGGTGTGCCCACTTTACATTCCCTTAAACCCTAATGAAATCACATGACATTAGACTTCGAACTGTTTTCAAAGCTTGAGAAGAAAAAAAACTCATTGGTGTCAGTTTGACCGTGGCCAATAAAATCAATGTCCAAAGAGTCTGATGACTAATTCACTTTGGTTGCCTCTTTTCACTGCAACATACTGGTTCTCTGATGTATTTATAATAAATTTTGAACAGTGGAGGTCTATGGCATAGACAAATTAGATGATCTAGGACTGACAGAGGGACAGATATTACTGGTGAGCAGACGCAAATCACTGTGAGTTTTAGTCTCTATATAGGGAGTGTTTAAACTACTGGCAATGCAGAAAATGACTCTTTTAAAGTTGAATACATAAGAACTTATACAGTTGAAAAGGGGTTACTCTAGCTGTTGTTCTTCTGTGCTAAATATGTAAGTGAGCATGGCAGCAGTGCTGGGTCAAAGAGAGACTGTAAGCCTGAGGTGGAGGACTTGAATTGTCAATATCCGTTATATGGATCATTTTGCAGAGAGGACCGAGAACTGCTCAAGGTCTGGTGCGACAAAAGCAAACATTGACTTGTGACCACCTTAGGTGCACGTCAGGTCAGAAGACGAGAAGGGCAAGGAGGAAGGCAGGCTATTGGGGATGGGGCTGCTGTAACAGAAACATCCAACATCATCTTACAGTACAGTGTATACTCTGAGTGCACTGAATTACATCATGTCACTATTCATTTCTTACAGCAAGTTGAGGGAATGAGACATAACCTAAAAAGTGCAGAGGGGAAGTTATTTAGTACTGAGAGAGAGTATTTAAGAAGAATCTGTTACTAAGTTGTTTTATCATCAATTCCCTGTCATTCATTTTGTCCCTAGAAAACCTTTTCCTCAGAAAGAATCAAAACTTTGGAAACAAATTAAAAGAGTCTGAGCTGTGGTGATGAGATACATAATATTTTATGCTGGATTAGAGCCTAATCCACGGTTAATCCCCTGAGAAAGGTAAATAGTTAAATGTCAATGAGTATCCTGTTAAAACATGCAAATTACAACCCTTCTCTGTTTTCTACTTAGCCCATCTCCCCGTTTTCACCCTGATGTATCTGCAGCTATTAAATTTTTATTGTTTCATTATGTACCTCAAAGTTGAAATAATACAACTGCAGCTGAGAGCTGGTCAACCTTGTAAATAATGAAAAAAGTGGTGTTGCTTTCACAGTCTTGGCAATTTCCACTTTTATTGCTGCATCATATGCTGATAATGGAGGATGCTGTTTTCATGAACATGAATAATTACAAAACATAAAAACTATGGTTTCATTTGAAAAGTCAAAATATGTTTTTTCTGGGATTTATTAAGACTTAATGAAATAATCATGGCAATTAATGTATTTAATATTGTAGTACATTACCTTAAAGGGATTGGTTAGCACTGTTATTGGATTCATACACTTCTTTTTTTATACCACGCTTTAAGAAATAAGAGCTAAAGTCAAGTAATTGAAAATGATGTGTGAACTGTATTACAATTTTCTGCATATTCTTAATCATTTTGCCATAATCACTATTAATATTAATAGGCTCCTCTCGCTCTCTCTCTTTCTGTGTGTGTTGTACAGGCCTTCTGCCTTTTTCTGAGAGGAAATACTTCCTCATCTGTGTTGTCGGGGGCCATGAGTAACTGCTGCGGTGACAGTCTCCAAAACCTGTTGACGTGGAACACCTAAAATGGGGACAGGACTTGCTGCTACGCTGCAAGCTCATCTCTAATCACCGTGAAGACGACCTACCGTTCATCTTGCTGTCTAGTTTGATTCTCCCCTGACCTGCACCTCTTCCTGATTTGAAACTGCTGCTTGTTGTTTCCCACCCTTCAACTTCTTTCTGCTGAGGTGACCTCAATCACTCCTAATCCAAACCATGGCCAGCAGACTCCATTTGTCCTGCCTGTCTCCTTCCCTCTTTCTCGCCCTCACGTTCCCTGCATTGTTTCTCCTCCACCTGCCTGGCATGGTGAAAGGGGACTGCTGGCTGATAGAGGGGGATAAAGGCTACGTTTGGCTAGCTATCTGCAGTCAAAACCAGCCACCATTCGAGACCATTCCCCAGCACATCAACAGCACGGTCAGTGTGATCCTTTCTGTCAGTAGGCCTTTTACACTATTGTGAAACCATATGTCTTCATGCACTCTGAGCTAAAGAGTAGATTCTTAATCATGACAGTAGCTTTGCAAAGCTGTGAGTGAATCTGCTCGACTCTGAGCTAAAAAGTAGGTTCTTAATCATGACAGTAACTTTGCAAAGCTGTGAGTGAATCTGCTCTTCTCTTCACACCATATAAGTGTTTTATTTTGTGTCTCTGGCTGGGATTATATGTTTGTTGCAGTGTCAACTATGACAGTGATGGTAATACAGTATCCTTAATATAAATGAACCATGTATACATCCTAAAAATGTATGTCTAATATTTTTAGTTGCATACAGTTACAAGGTTGTATTAATGTGTCCAATAACCGTGTGGACTGAAATAATATTATTAAAGCAAATAAAGTAATTGGTTATGCTAAACAGGTTATGCTGGTGATGTAGAAGAAATCAACCAAAACAGGCAGCTGGTTTTTGGAATTGTCTACCTACAATGGAATTGACTACAGCCAACTGTACATATAAAGCTGGGTAGCATCTGTAGTGGTAAAGAAGAGCTTTAGTGCCACACTTTAACCTCCAAACTAATCAGAAGATCACTACACTGAAAGAAATTTCTTTTGGTTTTGTAGCAAGAAGTGTATGCTGTTCTAGATCCACCTCCTGTACACCTCTACCAACCTCAAACAAGTTGCATTTGCTAGTTTTATCTAATCATTTGTGTAGTGGCTTGTTGTTTTAAAGTGCCAAGCAAAAAGATTTTGTAACCATCTGCAATTTTCTGTGTAAATTATTCAAACTAAACAATTTCTATATACTTTATTAATAGCACCAACATTTACCTCTGCTAGATATCTCAGCACTGATGATCGTTTGATGCTTGCAAACAGGCTGTGAATAACTAAACACAAATGTGTAATTGAGAAAATGTTTCATGAGATAGCAAACCTGCATGTTTGGGGGTGCAATACACTCTTGGCAGCTGTTTTTGGTGGTGTGTAGGTCCTCTTTTATGGCTACCAGAGGATGCAATGCATCACCTGAATATCATCCACTCTCTTGTCTCCCTTAGGTTCATGACCTGAGGTTGAATGAGAACAAACTTAAGGCTGTGCTTTTTATCTCCATGTACCGCTTCACAAACCTTACTGATCTCAACCTAACCAAGAACGAGATCAGCTACATCGAAGATGGGGCCTTTGCTGGACAGGCCAACCTACAGGTCTGCAAGAACACAGCTTGGTTTATGTATAGCTGTAATTAAAGTTGTAATTATTCTATTTATATTTCCTCATTTGTATATAAAGGTCATGAAGACTTCAGTAGCCTCTATGCCACTTAAATTTTTCCTTTCTGTCACAATAACCAGCCTCTGCGGTGATGTATCTTCTTATGTTAAATTGATTTCAGCTACTTTTAAATAGTTGAAAAGATGTGGTAAATAACCTATGAAACAAACAGTGGACAGGACAAAAAAAAGAGAATGGGTGTCATACACCAACTGTTCTTAAGAGTACATTTGTTGGTAAAATGCTGGCATTCACCCATGTTTTCTTATCTGGGATTTGTTCTTAGCTAAGAACAGAATCTAAACACACCCAGGAGCACACTGATGCTAACATGTGTGTGTGAAACAACTCACTGTCTAGTTTTATTCAATTCTACAATCATAATATTATAAGAATTAAATTGCAATAACAGTTTTTACATTATTAGTATTTATTTATTATATTTTCCCATTATTTTCCAAAGCATCATGGTATTTTAAAGTGAATAAACACTACACTAAAAATTACAGCAATTAATTGTTTTCAAGGTTTTAAAATGACATTTTCACAGTGTGATTATTTATAGCTTAGAATAAAACACACTCTCACCCTGTGTCTTTTCAGGTTCTCCAGCTGGGCTACAACAAACTGACAAACCTGACCGAGGGCATGTTGAGAGGTCTAGGTCGAATGCAGTGCCTCTTCTTGCAGCACAACCTCATTGAGGTCATTGCCACCAATGCCTTCTGGGAGTGCCCCAGCCTCAGCAGCCTGGACTTATCTTCAAATAAGTTGGCACGTCTGGACCCGTCTACTTTCACTGTCCTCAACAGGCTGATGGTGTGTGAATTAGCAGGAAACCTGTTCCACTGTGGCTGTGAACTCTACAGCTTTCTCACTTGGCTGGAGGCATTTAACAATGTCACCCACACCTACGACCGCCTCCAATGTGAAACCCCTCCTGAAATGAATGGTTATCCACTCCTGAGTCCAGTACCTGGACATGGAAGAAATGCCCGTTACAAACTTTTATCTAAATGTCACGAAGGTGCGATAGGGATGACCTCCCAGACGCCAGATCCAGATGGCTCAGGGATGGGTTTGGAAAACCCAGACCAAGGTCTGTACCACCAGCCGACCATATCGTCCACTGCTGATCCCACCTATGGCCACAAGATTTCTATAAAGCTTCAGTCTGTCTCCCTCTACACTGCTTCACTAATTGTGCAAATCCCAAGACCATACAGTAAAATGTACATCCTTTCTCAGTACAACCAGACTTTTGTTGCAGACATCATGCCCCTTAAAAACCAGAAGGAGATAATTACTTTGGACAAGCTGAAACCGCACACAAACTACACTTATTGTGTGGCTTCTGTGAGCAAATCTCAGCACTACAACCACACCTGTCTGTCCTTTAGCACACGAGCTATGGGACCAGAGGACCAGCGAACCAATCCATCCACAACTACCCACTACATCATGACCATCCTCGGATGTTTGTTTGGCATGGTCATTGTGCTTGGATTTGTCTATTACTGTCTCAGACGGCGACGCATCCAGGAAGAGAAGGAGAAAGCTATAAGTGTGAAGAAAACTATTCTGGAGATGAGGTACAGTAGTAGATGGATTTTCAATCTTTATTAATGAAAGCCTTCAGGACTGCATTACAAAAAGGTTTTCATGACAATAAATTGCAGAGGAGTCACGACACAGATAATGACTGCAGCTGTTTTAGATAAAACAAAAATAACAATTTCTATGTGTGTGTGCTTTGAGTATAATTGATTTTAATTCATGCTTAAATTTGGAACAATTTGTGTCATGGCCATCACTGCATTAGTTGTTTTGCTGCATTGCTTTGTTATGATTTGAATTCTTGAAAAGCCTCATTTATACTCCCTTCAAACAGCAGCTTAAACATTTTCTCCCACCACACTCTTTATTGAAGTTTTGGGCCATGCTATTTTTCATATGTTCTTTGAGCTTTAATGAAAAGAGCAAGGATTATGGCATCCCGCTGATGACAGGATAAAAATATTAAAACTAATTAATTTTTAAAAAGTTTTAGGTCCAGCTATATTTTTATATATGTTTTTGTGCAAAACATTATACACAGTGGGCCATCAGATAAAGCAATTAGATGAAAATGAATCTGTCCTTCTTTCAGGTATGGGCCAGAGGCAGCTGCGGCAGTGGCCAATGATCCAGGTGCTATGCAACGTCTTCAGGAGCAGGCCCACCACCAGCACCACCATTCAGGAGGAGCAGGAGGCAAGCTGCCACCATCTGCATCCTCTAGCACTGGCATGCTCCACGGCTCAGCTAACACCACTTCTTCCCGCCTCTCTACCTTGCCCCAGGTGGAGAAAATGGCTACTGCCTTCTCTGAAGCAATGGGTGGT